TATAGACCTATAGACCTATAGACCTATAGACCTATAGACCTATAGACCTATAGACCTATAGACCTATATAGACCTATAGACCTATATAGACCTATAGACCTATAGACCTATAAATTTATATACCTATATAGACCTATAGACCTATAGACCTATAGACCTACAGACCTATAGACCTATAGACCTATTGACCTATAGACCTCAATGTGTGTATATAGACCAACAACAACCTTGACCCAACCTCAATAGCACATACTATAGTTTCGATCTAACCTCATAAACATCTACATATATTACTTAACTGACTTGAATGAACTGATCGATAGCATTGAAAACGTAATAGTTATCGATTACTTAAAATTACCCTGAGACAAGCTTACATATACATACTATATGTATATAGGGGCTCTAGCTCCTATTGATTCATAGATTCTTATTGAGAATATTCTGATGTGCGGAGGGACGGATGTATGTACATACAGTAGAATCCGGTTATAACGTATCCGCTTATAGTGTCTACACGGTTATTGCGACGAAAATTCTGGTCTCCAGACAAACCGGATATAATATAACCAGATTCTACTGTATATACATATATAATATGTGTTGTGCTAAAATGTACCGTATATTATGTGTAAGTGTAACAATAGTATTTTTTTGTTTATTTAAAAATAAATTGAAGTAAACGAGTTGGTAAAGTCTGCATGATTAGGTGCAAATTATTCAATTGGATTTACTTTGGAATTTCTTATTTGGAAATCGATATTTTCTACCTTCTAGACACTTCTAAGAGAATGTGAGTAACTTCTTCAATTTAGCAAGAGCTAACTTTAATTAGTAGCAACTAATAAGCGGCTTGGCTTAAGAGCACCCTCTTCTCAACCCAACCTATATATTGACCTCAATCGGATTAGAGTTGCGAGAGACGTCGCAAACCCCAGACCCCCTGCGATGTTTTGTCAATAAAAAACAAGTTAACGCTTTGCAAGCGAACGCCACTGACTGCATAATACTCGCTCGTGAGCCAAGTGCTAAAGTGGGTTATGCCTGCCTACCAATATGATGTAAGCCACAGTGAGGCTAGAGCTGTGCGTACGGAAATAATAGAACGATTGAGCAAGAGATTTTGACTTTAAAATATAGTCGAAATGTCAATGGACTAGAGTACACTGGGATATAGGCACTGTTTTTACCAATATATTTCGATATACATATATAAATGATGCCTTAGTACGATATTATTTTATATTAGCTGGAACCGAAGTTCTTTCTATTTATAAATGGAAGCGAAGTTCTCTCTCTCTATATATAAATGGTACACCGATATCTCTATGTCAAGAACTAAGGAAAGCAAATAGCAAACTCGAATTCTAAGGCTTCTAATGCAAAGATTGTTTAATACCGATTTGCCACGCCCACAGTGGGTGTTACGACAAAAATCCGAAAAGGTCATCAAGCGAACATGCTGCCTCTACTCAACTTATCTCAACCAGAGAGAAGAGCAGCAACTGCAACTGATATGCCCATATTCATCTTGCTGGAGGAGCATGGGGACCCGGGTGAAAAGCGGCCTACCTTATGGCTAACTGACAATGTGGTTTTGTCAACACATTTCAGCGTTTCGCCTTGGAAACTTGAGTTTGTTGATTGCCTCAAGAAGTTTTTGTTTCCTTCTCCCAAGGCTTTTGTTCTTGTTGTTGTAGTTGTTGTTGTTGTATTCTGAGTATTTTGACTATTGTTTCGCGTCTCAAGGAACTCGAGGAATTCGCAAGTTTTTTAACAAGCAGCAGCAGCAGCGGCAACAGGACAGCAACTGCGATGGGTAACGTAAACTTTAGAGCTCTATTTAAAAAAAAAAAAAAAAGAGAAAATAAATAAATCAAAATAAAAACGAAGTAAACTCTAATTAAGTGTGACAGTGCAAAAAAGTTTTGAAAACAAACGGAAACTTTGCCCAAAGTGCATTTTGTGAGGTTATGTAGAAAAGCAAATATATGTATGTATATATAGCAGGGCTCTATCATATAGACACAACGCACCTCAGATTCATCTTTTTGTACTCCCATGTGGCAAGTGCGAGCAATCAAGTTCCCGTTATCGCAGGAGCATTACGAAAGGGTTGCCCCCGACCCGCAAGTTGATAGATAATAAAGTGTTTATACATATATACATATATGCTGCTGTGTGCGTGTGTCTCTCTCTCTATGTGTGTACGCGTGTGTGTTAGAGATGAGCGCGTGTCGAACTGTAAGTAGGTCCTACACACGATTACTATGCAAATCTCATGCGTTTCGATTTGTGATTTACATATTGGTTCGACTAAATTTTGGTTTGATACGAATTGGGCTTCCATTGGGCTTCTATTGGGGTTCGATTGGGACCTTCATTTACATGTCGGGTCGGGCCTAATAAAGTTCTTAGTTCGTGTTTCGATTAAGGTCAGAAATTGAATCAGATTTCGAGTTTATTTCGATTTTTATCTCGACTTAAGGATAGTTTTGCTTCGACTCGGGTTCAGTACCTGAACTCTGCATGGGCTCGGCTTAGGTACAGAATTCTTATCAGATTTTCATTCACAATTTAGGCTTAGTAAAACTCTTTTTTCATTTCAGACACTATTCGATGTTCATATGACTTTTAATTTCTGCCTCGTTTCGATTTATTTCGATCCATGTGGCTAATTTTTTCCTGGTAATCCCTCTAAGCTATCGAGTTACGTTTCGCGTTTAAACTCTATCTATGTATTCATTCAAAGCAGATCCGAATCAATATCTGAGTAGTGCTGTATTCGAGTTTAGATCATGTTTTTGCTTTTATGCCTTAGCTCGAATTTGATCTCCGGTTCTAATCTATTCAAGTTTCGTTTCGGTTCAGGTTCACTTTATCATTTAGATCTTTAAACGATTTAAGCTTTTGATACGAGCTTTTATGACCTCGTTTCTGGTTTTCAATTGAATCCGTTTCGAATATTATGCGCACTTCGATTCATGTTTTGTTTCGATTTTTGGTTCGTGTGAAAGCTTATTAAAGCTTTACATTTGGATTTACATTGGATTTCGATTTTGAGGTTAAATTCGTGTTCATTCAAGTAACAGCTCAGCTTGGAGCTTATCGTGGAGTTCAGTTCAGTTAGCCTTTACCTCTAGATCTTATGGCAAGAGCTGTTTCTCATTTACTTACACTCATTGTTCGTGTCACGCGTCGAAAACACGACACTTGACCAGCTCTAGAGCCAATATATGGTTGTTACAGTACATAGAAGTATGTTTGTATATGTGCCTTTGGGTCTATGTACACTCACTTGGCTTTCGGCTTGCCCCATTTTGTTTGATTGTTGTTTGGGGCAACGGCGAAATGCAGAAATTACGTGGGAATTACGTGCTAGGCTGACGACGGCATGTCAACTGCCCCAAGCTCCGCTACGAACGGCCCCTCACCGCCCACTTGGCCCATTTCGTTGCATACTTTTATGGGCCTGCGAACATATGCACATTCATATATATGTATTTGTATGTCTCTCTATAGACATGTTTTCGCAATTGTACGTAGCACTAATAAAATTAAAGTACCCAACAAAGCGACATGAAAAACAAACACGAAACTAAAAGAAGCTAATAGCAATTGGGCACCGAGTAGGGGCCAAAGGTTGACGGGGTCGAGCGAGGGGTCGACTGAGACAGAACGTAACGCTTCAAATAGACATCTACTTTATAAACACCAAGCTGTGTATGTGTGTGTGTGTGTCTGTGTGTCTTTAATAGACATCTAGCTATCTGGCCCGTTCAATTGCCGTCTTCCATGTGCAAACAAACTGCATTCGCAATGGGTTAACTTTGGATTGGGGCAAAAAGGTTGCATTGACTACACTGAGAGAAATATTTGTCAGGAAGTTAATAAGTGTAAATCATAATACTTGCTCACAAGCTGCAAATTTATTCCACTGAGCTCTTCCTGTTCTACTCTAGTTTTATTTAGATACATATACTCAAATGAATGTTCACCTAAGATATTGTAGAGGTTTTTTTTCATTTATTCATTCTATAGAGCTCAAGAGTTTTACATACGTGGTTACATACGTGAAATTTCCATTACTTCTTCTGTAGTCCCTTTGGACGCTTGAAAAAATCGGGTGTTACTTTTTGAAAGTTTATATTTTTCTTCTGTTTCACCAAATTTAATAAGTCTTCAAATGGACAGATCTTAAATACACTAAAAAAAAAAAAAAAAATAAAATAAAAATAAATAAATAATAATAATAAAAAAAAATAAAAAATTATCTTGTGTACAGTAAATATATATATACACTCATGATGAAAATAATAGGTGCTCTTCTTGAAATTGAGTTTGGTTTAGAAAAATATTTTTTCATATATCAAATAGAAACACCCTGTTCACTTTTTAGAAGCTTGACAGATTGGTCACAAAATAATTTTTTTAATATTGATCGACCAAAGAAAATGCATTTATCTACGTCCACTCAAGCCATAGCAAAACACAAAATATACTACGATGCTTAGAAGCGAGATCCAATAGGCGTTACAATTATAGACAGTATGCATGACAAAATTAAATAGTTGACTCACTGTTGAGCTACATAACAGATCGATTCATATAGATGTGATAGATATAGATAGATATGCAGGTATAGATAAAATCTAGATCCATATCGATATCCAGAAATATTCATATACATATATCCATATCATCGTCATATGATATATAATGAATCGTATGAAGTCTCTTGAAGATTATTATGCAATCTGCTTAAATTTTCCCTCATTTTTCTAGCTCTTAAGGCAAATTTGGGACAATATTGAACTAAATATGTATTTTAATTAT